CGGAAGAGACATACTGGATGGTGACATTACGGATGGTGACATTACTGGATGGTGACATTACTGATGGTGACATTACTGGGATGGTGATACGTGATGGTGACATTACTGATGGTGACATTACTGGGATGGTGACATTACTGAAGGATGGTGACATTACTGGGATGGTGACATTACTGGGATGGTGACATTACTGGATGGTGACATTGGGATGGTGACATTACTGGGATGGTGACATTACTGATGGTGACATTACTGGGATGGTGACATTACTGGATGGTGACATTACTGATGGTGACATTACTGGGATGGACATTACTGGGATGGTGACATTACTGGGATGGTGACATCTGGGAGGACAACGATGGTGACATTACTGATGGTGACATTACTGGATGGTGACATTACTGGGAGGTGATACAAGGACATAGAGGGACATTACGGGCACGGAAGGTGACATTACTGATGGTGACATTACTGGGATGTGACATTACTGGGATGGTACATTACTGATGGTGACATTACTGGGATGGTGAGCAACCGATGGTGACACGGACAGACATACAGAAGGTGACATTACTGGATGGTGACATTACTGGGATGGTGACATTACTGATGGTGACATTACTGGGATGGTGACATTACTGGGAAGGTGACATTACAGGGACATTACTGGGATGGTGACATTACTGGGATGGTGACATTACGAACAAAAATACTGGATGGTGACATTACTGGAAGGTGACATTACTGGGATGGTGAACGAACACATTACTGGGAAGGTGACATTATGGGATGGTGACATTACTGATGGTGACATTACTGATGGTGACATTACTGGGATGGTGACATTACTGGGATGGTGACATTACTGGGAAGGTGACATTACTGGATGGGACATTACTGGATGCATTACTGGGATGGTGACTAATGGGAGAACGAAGGTGACATTACTGGGATGGTGACATTACTGGATGGTGACATTACTGGATGGTGACATACGGAACAGGGAAGGTGAATTACCGAAGTACTTACTGGGATGGTGACATTACTGAGGTGACAGACGATGGTGACATTACTGGGATGAAAATGAGAGGGACATTACTGGGAAGGTGACATTACTGGGAAGGTGACATTACTGGATGGTGACTTACTGATGGGATGGTGACATTACTGGGATGGTGACATTACTGATGGTGACATTATGAAGGACATTACTGATGGTGACATTACTGATGGTGACATTACTGATGGTGACATTACTGGGATGGTGACATTACCTGGGAAGGTGACATTACTGGGATGGTGACATTACTGGGATGGTGACATTACTGGAAGGTGACATTACTGGATGGTGACATTACTGGGATGGCACATTACTGGGATGGTGACATTACTGGGATGGGACATTACTGGGATGGTGACATTACTGATGGTGACATTACTGATGGTGACATTACTGGAAGGACATTACTGGGATGGTGACATTACTGGGATGGTGACATTACTGGGAGGTGACATTGCGGATGGTGACATTACTGATGGTGACATTACTGGATGGTGAATTACTGGACGACATTACTGGATGGTGACATTACTGGGATGGTGACATTACTGGGATGGTGACATTACTGGATGGGGGTACTGTGGGATGGCATTACTTATGGTGACATTACTGGGATGGTGACGCCTGGGATGGTGACATTACTGGGATGGTGACATTACTGGGATGGTGACATTACGGGATGGTGACATTACTGGGATGGTGACATTACTGGGATGGTGACATTACTGGGATGGTGACATTACTGGGATGGTGACATTACTGGGATGGTGACATTACTGGGATGGTGACATTACTGGGATGGTGACTTACTGGGATGGTGACATTACTGGGATGGTGACTTACTGGGATGAGGTGACATTACTGGGATGGTGACATTACTGGGATGGTGACATTACTGGGATGGTGACATTACTGGGATAGGTGACATTACTGGGATGGTATGACATTACTGGGATGGTGACATTACTGGGATGGTGACATTACTGGGGAAGGTGACATTACTGGGATGGTGACATTACTGGGATGGTGACATTACTGGGATGGTGACATTACTGGGATGGTGACATTACTGGGATGGTGACATTACTGGGATGGTGACATTACTGGGATGGTGACATTACTGGGATGGTGACATTACTGGGATGGTGACATTACTGGGATGGGTGACATTACTGGGATGGTGACATTACTGGGAAGGTGACATTACTGGGATGGTGACATTACTGGGATGGTGACATTACTGGGATGGTGACATTACTGGGATGGTGACATTACTGGGATGGTGACATTACTGGGATGGTGACATTACTGGGATGGTGACATTACTGGGATAGGTGACATTACTGGGATGGTGACATTACTGGGATAGTATTACTGGGATGGTGACATTACTGGGATGGTGACATTACTGGGATGGTGACATTACTGGGATGGTGACATTACTGGGATGGTGACATTACTGGGATGGTGACATTACTGGGATGGTGACATTACTGGGATGGTGACATTACTGGGATGGTGACATTACTGGGATGGTGACATTACTGGGATGGTGACATTACAGGATGGTGACATTACTGGGATGGTGACATTTGGGAAGGTGACATTACTGGGATGGTGACATTACTGGGATGGTGACATTACGGGATGGTGACATTACTGGGATGGTGACATTGGGATGGTGACATTACTGGGATGGTGACATTACTGGGATGGTGACATTACTGGGATGGTGACATTACTGGGATGGTGACTTACTGGGATGGTGACATTACTGGGATGGTGACATTACTGGGATGGTGACATTACTGGGAAGGTGACATTACTGGGATGGTGACATTACTGGGAAGGTGACATTACTGGGATGGTGACATTACTGGGATGGTGACATTACTGGAAGGTGACATTACTGGGATGGTGACTTACTGGGATGGTGACATTACTGGGATGGTGACATTACTGGGATGGTGACATTACTGGGATGGTGACATTACTGGGATGGTGACATTACTGGGATGGTGACATTACTGGGATGGTGACATTACTGGGATGGTGACATTACTGGGATGGTGACATTACTGGGATGGTGACATTACTGGGATGGTGATATTACTGTCTTGGTGACTTTACTGGGCTGTAAAGTTGAAGTGGAGTGGTCAAGTGCCTTACGACTGACTGATACAATTGTGCTCCAGTCTTTCTTCCTGAGTAAGCACACACACACACACACACACACACACACACACACACACACACACACACACACACACACACACACACACACACACACACACACACACACACCTCTGTCTGTCTGTGTCTCTAGGGCTAAAGATACATTTTACACCACTAATATATAAAGAATAAAAGAACAGAGCTGAAACAGAAGCCTTATACCGTGCAACAGAGGCCTAAACCACATCATCCCCCAATAAAGAGTGTAGCAACGTCGAGGTGTAATAAGAATGTCAGTATTTGTAATAATTTAACCAGATGAGACAAGTTAGTCTGTTATTATGCTGTAAATCACCTCAAACAGTCATATCAGGTGTGTGTGTGTGTGTGTGTATGTGTGTGTAGAAAGAACAAATGTACATACCCCATCTTCACCTGCCTGTTGTGACGCCATAATGACGTTCCACCTGACGTTGGTCTTACCTGGAAGAAGATAAAAGTAAATAAATAACAATAATTCTCTCTCTCTCTCTCTCTCTCTCTCTCTCTCTCTCTCTCTCTCATTAAGAGCCTCAGAGGACCTCTTCCTCCTCTTCCTTCCCTCCACGTCCCTCTCTACCATCATCACCCTGTTCACAACCATCTCACACCTCATACATCTCTCACCACACCTCTCACCATACCTCTCCACCATACCTCTCCACCCTCCACCATAGCTCCACCATACCTCTCACCATACCTCTCACCATACCTCTCCACCCCTCTCACATACCTCTCCACCATACCTCTCACCATACCTCTCACCATACATCCCTACCAGTTCATAAACAGACACTCTCTCAATACCTTATATAACTTATTCTTTATGACGCTATAAAATATTAATTATAACGATGGTGATGATGGTGGGATGTGGGATGGTGTGGTGATGATGGTGGTGGTGTGGGTGTGGTGATGATGTGATGGTGGTGGTGGTGGGTGTGATGATTGAGTGTTTGGTGGTGGATGAGTGGTGTGGTTGTGGTGGTGGTGGTGGTGGTGATGATGGTGGTGGTGGTGATGGTGATGGTGGTGGTGGTGATGATGATGATGATGATGATGATGATGATGATGATGATGATGATGGTGGTGATTGTGTAATGATGTTGGGATAATGACAATCACAGTGACACTGATAATGATGGTGAATGGATAAGAATAGATAATAATAGTAATGATAATGATGATAATGATGATGATGATGATGATGATCTTGCATTTTAATAATCAGATATACAGGATAACACACACACACACACAAACTACCTACGCCACAAGGGTGACTGAAAGAACCAATCACCGTCCAATACTGAACTGGCAACCCCTAACTTATTGACGAATCACAGGCCATTATTTCCGCTTCTCTCTGTTGTTGTTGATCTTGTTATTGTTGGTGGTGTTCTTGTTAGTTGTTGTTGTTGTTGTTGTTGTAGTAGTTGTTTTTTTTTTTTTAATCTAGGTGTTTCAAATGCTAAGGGATTTCTAATTCAGGTGATCCAAATACTAAGAAATAACTTTAGGTCCGTCATCCCTTAATAAATACTTTAGGTCTCCAACTACTTAAGGTTTCTAATTAATTTTAAGCAACTTTTTAAACTCCTGTGGTTCTTTCTACCTTTAATTCCTCGACGTAACAAACAAACAAACACGTAATGCTTCAACCCCCAGGAGGAAGAATTAGATGAAGGACGAATCAGGACGAGTTACGTCAGGTTCAATAAGATTACTGGGTGAGGGGAAGTGGAAAAGCTGCCCCGTGATTGGCCAATGAGTTAGGGACAACCAGAGGAGAGTCTAGCTGCGATTGGTTGCTCAGGGAAGAGGTATGTGGCCAATCACATGCTACGTGGCCTATGACGTCATAAGGGCTTACCTTGTCTTTGGCCCTTGCAAGCTAAAAATAAATAAATAAGTAAATAAACAGGAAAATAAAATAAAAAAAATAAAAACAAGAAAATAATAATTTAATGGGAATAAGGAAACACGAATTACTAAGAAAACATTAAGTGAGAGAAAAATGTAATAATCAATAAATAGATAAATAATAAAATATATGAAGTAAACAGATAAATCACAAAATATACAAATAATTATATATAAAATCTTTGTTCGGTGGCCAAGTGCAGAAAATATTGTGTGTGAATGTGGCCAGCTCCTAAAACACACACACACACACACACACACACACACACACACACACACACACAGAAAAATCAATATATAGATTATTATTATTATTATTATTATTATTATTATTATTATTATTATTATTATCACAGAAGCTAAGACACCATTGACGACGGAAAACTTAGATAAAATAGTGGAGGTTAAGACCGAGGCAACAGGTGTGACCAAGGTAATGAATAATACATTAGAGAGACACGGGTATGTGCACTCAGGTAAGATGGAGCAAGGGGAGAGGGGAGAAAGAGGGAGAGGGGGGTGGGAGAGGGAGAGAGGGAGAGGGGGGACAGGGGGAGGAGAGGGAGGGAGAGGTTTATCGCCCTCTCACCCGCCAATGACTTACTGTCGCCCTTTGAGAGAGACTAATGTATGTGGGATTAATTACAAGGGTTAGGTTAGAGTGAGAATGTCTTAGTTGGAAGAAAAGAAATGGGGGTTTCATTACGGATGCGTTGAAAGGAAGGAAGGAAGGAAGGAAGGAAGGAAGGAAGGAAGTCACTCTGTCTGTCTGGTTCTTTATTTCTGTCTGTGCACGAACGGACGGGAAATAGACAGACGGACGTGGCCAGAGCAATATGACAGGACAGAGATAAACAGGACATAATTATCCCAATATCTTTATCTTTCCCCCTTTACTCTCCTCCCCTTTCCCCTCCATCTCCCCTTCCCTCACCTCCTCCCTAACTCTCCTACAATAGAGCTCTAAATCCACGCTGCCGATTTACTCTCATTCATACAAGGAAAAACAAAACCAATAAAACACTGAATGAATAGATTGTGCCATTGTTTACCTTCTGCCCAGCTGATGTCACTACCCCCATTCATGATTACGATCAGTGGAGTCGCAAAGTCAGCTGATTCACTCAACACACACACACACACACACACACACACACACACACACACACAGTATGTCATTAATTCAGTGTAGGTTTGACAGTGTATTGAAGAGTTTAGGGGAAATAAAGATGGTTAATAATAATAATAATAATAATAATAATAATAATAATAATAATAATAATAATAATAATAATAATAATAATAAGCTAATATCTGCTCCTTTAATTAAAAGTTCGTACATGGTTCCCAAACTTTCCTCTCAAATTACATTTTTGCCAAAGGCCGGGAGCTGGGGAGGTGAAGAATTTGTTACGCCACTAAACTACTGCGCCACTATGTATACAGGAGCAGTGATGCACCAAGTGTATAAGAGATAAGACGGTCAATGTATAAAGGAGTCACTGATGCACCAGTATTGACAGAGAAACAGAGAGAGGGTTATAAAGGAAGGGGTCACTGTGCCATTAAGTTTAAAGAAACAGAGGGGCGCCAGAGTGTTTACATAATAGATGTTATATATTTAAAGGGGTATTTGATGCGCCATTATTCATAGATAAACAGAAAGAGCATCACAATATATGAAAAAAAATAGTTACTGCACCACTATTTTAAAGGGGCATTGAGGCGTCGCTGTATGGGAAAGGTGTGAATGTTGCACCACAATCCACTCAAGAGGCATAAAGACACTATCATTTACTAAGGAGCAGAGAGGCACCGCTATTCATATTGGTTAGCATAATGCAACATTATTCCCGCTATAGGCGTCAGTAATCATAAAGGAGCATAGAGGCGACGTAGCTAATGAGAGTTTATTAGCTCCGCCACAGCTTATAAATGAACTCTTCGTGTGCCATTATCTCACTAAGGAGCAGGGAGGTGCCATAATAAATAATGATCGAGTTGCTGCTGTCCTTGTTATAATGGAAGAGACAGACGCCATTATTTACATAGAAGTTATCTCTGTGCCACAATGGAGCAGCGAATTCGTGAGCCACTAAAGGAAGAATTCGTGAGCCACTAAAGGAAGAATTCGTGAGCCACTAAAGGAAGAATTCGTGAGCCACTAAAGGAAGAATTCGTGAGCCACTAAATGAAGAATTCGTGAGCCACTAAAGGAAGAATTCGTGAGCCACTAAAGGATGAATTCATGAACCACTTTTTCAGAACCAGTTGACATATAACAATATATAAAGGAGCAAAGTCGACACCATTTAACAGATATATAACACTACACCAATATCTATAATTTACTGAGGACTAACATAAAAACAGTACTAACACAACAGACAGACAAATAGACAGACAGGTAGACAGACAGACAGAGACAGGTAGGTAGACAGACAGGTAAACAGACAGACAGACCCCCCAACACCACATTATGAAGACCCGAAGCTATTGATATCTGGCCTAACAGCTCACACACCTCTCCTCCTCCTCCTCCTAGATAGATTAATAATGACACCTTGAAAAATGTGTCCTACCAAGAATTCAGTTTGAGATAAAAAATAAAGTGTCATTTATCACCCGAGAAATCAATGGTGCGAGTGTTTATTTTGGTGAGATCTAGAGACGAGGTGAAAATAAATCGTTTGTCTCTTGAAAGTATTAACAGAATGAGGGTGATTTATAAAGCTTGTTTTTTAAATTAAGGTAAATATATCATCTGAAACACCTTAGATATATATATTTTTTCCCTTATACTTAATATTAAGGTTTTATTTTATCATCTCTATACTTGACGACATTTTTTTTAAAACACTTAGATATTTTATTTATCTTAAAACAGTATTATTAAAGGTTATTTTATGATCTTAGTATAATATAATATCCAGTTGATTCACTTAAGACTGACTAAATATATCGGCCTTAACTACCACAATTACTTCTACAACACCACCACACCCACAACCACCACACCAACCATCACACTACCATCACTACCATCCCTACCATCACACTACCATCACCACTATCCCTACCATCACACTACCATCACCACCATCCCAACCATCACACTACAACCACCATCCCAACCACCACACTACAACCACCATCCCAACCATCACACTACCATCACCACCATCCCAACCATCACACTACAATCACCATCCCAACCATCACAACCACTGCCACACAACACCATACTGGCACTGTAGTAGCATCGTAAAAGAGTGCCAGACAATTCCGGTGTTGTGGCGTGGACGGGTATATCTGCCTCAATGCTTAAATAAATACACAATGGCTGACAGCAAATAAATGGTTAATCCGCGAAACTGGCAATATTCGCTCCTAGAAATACTTACCACGCCTCTAAACTAACTTACTACCGCAATATTCCTCTTATCGTGGGCGTAGGAGGGAGATAGAGAAGGAGAAGAGGTACGTGGGAGAGGAGAAGAGAAGAGGGAAGGTGGGAGATGGGAGGAAGGAGGGGAGAAGAGGAGAAAGAGGAAAGATGGAATGTGGGAGAAGACAGGGAGACAAAGACAGAGGGAGAGACAGAAGGAAGGAAGGAAGGAGGAAGAAAGAGGAGAAAAAGAGAGAGAAGGAGAAACGAAAGGATCAACTAAAGCTTTCGTCACCAGTTGAAGCTTTCCTCACCACACATCTGGATCAACTAAAGCTTTCCTCTCTAGTTAAAGCTTTCCTCACCAGCTAAAGCTTTCCTCACCACAGATCTGGATGAAATAAAAACTTTCCTCACCAGCTCCGTTAAATATTTTGTTATCAGCGTAAAAAACAATTTTTGGTCTGACCGACGAGGTTGAGAATTCAGAGAAACACGTCAAAGAGAGAAGAGGTGGAGGGGGGAGAGGAGGAGGGAGGGAGAGGAGGGGAAGGGTGTGAGGGGGGAGAGGAGGGGAGGAGAGGAGGGAGGAGGCAGGAGGGGAGGGGAGAGGCAAGGGAGGAGGGAGGGGGAGGAGAGGGGAGGAGTGGAGAGGAGGGAGAGAACGGAATGGTACGAGAGAGACAGAGAGGAGGGAGATGAGGAGGAGATGAAAGGAAAAGAGAAGAGAATGTAGGGGTGATTTTGAGAGAGAGAGAGAGAGAGAGAGAGAGAGAGAGAGAGAGAGACTAGCCTGGTGCCCTCTGTAGACTCCCAAGTTTCACTCTCCCACGACACGCCATTTGTCTCTGGTCCTTGGCTGAGTCTTAACAAGGGCTCGGGCCAATACAGTGCTATGCTGCTTCTGGTGGTGAGCAATCAAGCCTTTAACACTATCTTCAAATTCCCCTATATTCCTTCACTTCCTCCTTCCTTCTTTCAGCGTCAACTCTTCCTTACCTCCCTCTCTCTCTCTTTCCTTCTTTGAAATAGCCTCCTCCTCTTTCCTTCTTTATCCACTATCGCATCCTCCCTCATTTCTTTCCACTTTCAGTCATCTGTTCATTCTCCCTCCCTCCCCATCCTTCCCTCCCTCCCTCTGTCCCTCCCTCCCCTTCCTTCCCTCCCTCCCTTCCTCCCTCCCTCCCAACAACCTGACGCCCAACAGAACCAAATTATCGCCTGATGGCAAAACGAAAATTGTTTACTAGTTGAAATTTGCACGAGAGAGAGAGAGAGAGAGAGAGAGAGACGGATATCTTCTTCACCTACTTTCTTTTCAATCTTTCCTTTCCCTCCCTCCATCCCTCCCTCCCACCCTTCCTTTAAACCGCTTAATGCCTGTGATGTGAGCAGTGAAACTCTCTCTCTCTCTCTCTCTCTCTCTCTGGGTCTCGTGTGTCGAATTATCAGAAAACATCACAAAATCGGTCTCTCCCAGTAAGCATCTGGCCCGGATTTGACTAACTCATCCTAAAGCGACAGACGTAAAGACAGGCAGACATACAGGCAGACATACGTAAACACAAACAACACACACGTCT